CTTGTTGTAGTGGGCCAAGCGGGAAGATTCGGCAGCGATGCGCTCGAAGATGTCGTTCACGAACGAATTCATGATGCTCATGGCCTTGCTGGAGACTCCAGTGTCGGGGTGCACTTGCTTCAACACTTTGTAGATGTAGATGGCATAGCTCTCCTTCCTCTTGCGCTTCTTCTTCTTGTCAGTCTTGGTGATGTTCTTCTGAGCCTTGCCGGCTTTCTTGACAGCTTTGCCACTTGCTTTAGGAGGCATGGTTGTTTTCAGAGAAAGAACGTCTGAACTCGGAGAGAACACAAAGCGAATTGACATTAAGCAGCGAAAACTGCCCTATTTACATTCTCTTACAGTCGTGCTCCTACATTCTGATTGGTGCGGGGACTCACTGCAACCATCTGCCACTCACGACGAAGAGAGGGGAGCGCAGTTGTGGGCGTGACCTGTGGAGAGAGCGTAAATAGGCGGATTTCAGGCGCAGAACATCATTCGCTTCGTATTTTTCGTTGTGTTCACATCGTTAATCTAAAACTAAATCGAAAATGTCAGGACGTGGCAAAGGTGGCAAAACCAAGGGAAAGTCAAAGACCCGCTCCAACCGGGCCGGACTCCAGTTCCCAGTCGGTCGTATCCATCGTCTCTTGCGCAAAGGAAACTACGCCGAGCGAGTTGGTGCTGGTGCTCCAGTTTACCTAGCCGCAGTTATGGAATATTTGGCTGCCGAAGTCTTGGAGTTGGCCGGAAACGCAGCTCGTGACAACAAGAAGTCGAGAATCATTCCCCGTCATCTCCAACTCGCCATCAGGAACGACGAGGAATTGAACAAGCTCCTCTCTGGAGTCACCATCGCCCAGGGTGGTGTTCTCCCCAACATCCAAGCTGTTCTTTTGCCAAAAAAGACCGAAAAGAAAGCTTAAATTATCCATATACTCACCCTCACACAAAACAATCGGCCCTTTTCAGGGCCATCAAATATTTTTTACGTTTGAACAATTGAGTTACATGCATTGTTTATTTTTCATTTGAATTATTTTGAAAAATTTCTTTCTCTATCTGAATTATGTGACATTTACTTTATGTTAGATATTATTAGAAGTTGCTCAATAACAGTCAAAACTGAAGTATCAATTCTTGAATCAAATTTTTTTCATATATCTGTAATGAAAATATTTAATTAATTTTTTCAATTATTTTGTTACAATATCTTTGAAACTATGCCAATTTTAGGAACCTTATTTTCAATGACATTTCCGACAAATTAAATACATATACAAAAAATTACATTTGAACAAATTCAATTATTTTGGAAAACCTAATTCTTACCATTGTTTTATTACAATTTTTTAAGATTCAATTATCTTTGAACAAAGTAAAATAAAATTTATAATTAAAATTGTTCAAAAGTTCAATTGCTTTGCTTCCTCGTGGAGGAAATTTTTTTTTTTGCTCACCGTAAAGAGAAGGCAAAATATTCATGTAATCAACATCTGGATTCACAACTTTTTTATTTATATTTTCCAAAAATTTAATTATTTTTACAGTGACAAGGACTATAAAAAATTGATTTTTTATATTATATTATTTAAAAATACAAAAACTCAATTTTTAAATAATAATTTAATAATTTTAATTAAATTTATTCTAGTAGAACTTTCGGAAAATTATTTAAAAATAATTGATTTAGAGATGAAGTTTTTGTCAGAATTTTCTAAATTCAATAGGTAGTTTTAGAATTATAAATAATTATGAATAAGTCTACTTTTAGAAAATTAAATTCTTTTAAATTTACAACCCAAAAATTTGTCTACTAATAAAAAAATACAGATTTACCATTTTTTTGTAAACAGAAAAAAAATATTTCCATCCTAAATTAGAATGGATACTAAAAGGTAACGTGGAATCGCCTATTGTAGTACTTTTTTAAAATTTTGATAAATATAAGAATTAAATTATTATTAATTATTTCGGACTTGACTACTATTCTAAATATTTGTTTGAGACAAAGAAAATTCTTTCGTAAAAAGCAATTGGTGGCCCTGAAAAGGGCCGTTTGTTGTCAATCATCCACTATCAATTTCTTTCCACTTTACTTCTTGGCAACCCTCTTTGCCGCGGGCTTCTTCGCCTTGGGCGCTGCAGCCTTCTTGGGCGAAGCTTTGGCCGCCTTCTTGGGAGCAGCCTTGGTCACCTTGGGTTTGGCGGTGGTGGACTTGGCCTTCGGTGGCTTGGCCGCAACCTTCGGGGTCTTCTTCTTCTCGGCGACGGCTTTCTTGGTCTTGGCTGCCACGGCCTTCTTCGGAGAAGCTGCTTTCTTGGCCTTTGGTGCTGCAGCAGCTTTGGGTTTGGCGGCAGTCTTGGTCTTGGGCTTGGCTTTGGCCTTGCCCTCGGCCTTGGCGACGTTCAACTTGAAGGACCCTGCAGCGCCCTTGCCCTTGGTCTGGATCAGAGCCTTGCTGGCGACTGCAGCCTTCAGGTACTTTCTGATGAAGGGAGCCTGCTTCTCGACGTCGACTTTGTAGGTGGCGGCGATGTACTTCTTGATGGCTTGGAGCGAAGAGCCGCCTCTCTCCTTCAAAGTGGCGATGGCCGCGTTCACCATCTCCGACGCTGGCGGGTGACTGGCCTTGGCGCGGGGCTTCTGCGCCTTGGCTGCTTTCTTCGGAGTCGCCACTGCAGGTGCGGCTGGGGATTCTACTTTGTCTGCCATTTCGTGGAGATAGTTTTCAAAAAAGTTCAAGTAAACTCAGTGATGCTCTCAACGTGACTTGTGAGACTGAAGTGACCATTTTTCGAAGAGAGTCGGGTGTTAGTAAAACGCACGAACGTTGAAGAAAGACCCCGACGCTCGTTGGGCGTCTGCCGTTTAAATTGTCGCTAACTTGCGAACCACATTCAAAAGATTTTATATTTTTTAATGATTAAATTATACTTATCGTTTTGATAATATATTGAATTTCACTTGCACGAATATTGTCTTCCTCGGTTCTTTAAAAATATTCTTTAATCTTGTGGTAGTTTCTTGCAAAAATCAATACTTTCCGGGCCTCTGCTATAAGTGAACGGACGTTACAAGTTTGGAAAATTGTTAAAAATATACTGACAAATTAAAGTTTTAAATATTTCAGTTTTAATATCAACGCTTTGGTTATCACTCTTGTGGAGTATTTAACTTATTTTATTAGTAAATATAAACTAAAGACATTGAGAGCAGTTTAATTTTGTTTTGAGTTCTAGCTCTCAATGTAGTTTGGTGGCGCGTGGATTAATGTGTAGTTCAATAATAAAAAATTTATGAACAATTTATTATTATCACTAATATGCGATTTCGTATATTTTTAAACAATATTTCTTTTTTGCAGAAATTTTGTACTGCCATTTAGACGTAGATGCATGAGATATAGATATATATTCTGGCAACATTCAAGATATTTTTTCCTTTTCCTTTTCCTTAATTTTAGTTGAATTGTATTTAAATTTTTTTTAATCATATTTTATGGTATAATAACAAAATGATTATAATATTATATGCTATAGTAACGTTTAGTCTGATTATCTTGACAAATTGTCTTTTATCTAATGCATAATTTTTCGTAGCAGATGCGTTTCGTTAAAATTATTAAATTATTTTTTGAATTCGTGTTCTTTGATTGTTTGCAATTTAAGTTATTCTTTACCACAAGTTCTATAATTCGATGTGCAGAAAACTTTCTATGTTTCGCTATATAGACAGTATATTTAACAAAAGTCACATCTGTTGTATTGATTGAAACAAAGTTTCTAATTTATAAGAGAAGAATAACTGTATATTCTGATGTTAATGAAATGAATTATCTGAAACGTTGCAGATAATATCTGCAACTTAATTTGTATTGATGTATTTAATTATTCAACTTTTAAAGTATAATATAAGTCAGTATTTTAATTTAAACTATTTAAAATTAAATATTGTTTTGAAGAGTAATAATTATTCGTCTTTTCTAAACTGAAAACATTTATTTTAGGTTACATAAAATAAATATGTATTAGGATGTTGCGACATCGTTTCATTTTTCAGAATACGAAATAACATATTCGTTATTTTATTTTTGGAGCCGTTGTTATAGCTTACAGAAAAACTGCACACGCAATATAACTATATACAAGGTAATTGTCTATTAAAATTGTTTTGAGTATAAACATTATACAATTAAATTTAATACGATTAAACTGCATACGATAAAACTGTTTACGTATTAAGTTAATAATATTTTATTAAAAAAATATTGCTTAGAATTAAATTGCATGCGAGGAAACTGTAAACGAATTAATTTAGAAATAAATTCAAATTTCAATACCTTTAAACTGCATACACATCAAATGTATGCAACCAAATTCTCTGTATATTGAGTATTACATTATCGTTTCTATAAGGTTAGTAAATAAATTTCAATAGTATTATGCTGACATCAATTTTTATTAAAATAAAATTAAGTACCTAAATGAAGAATTTGAAAATTAATAAAAATGTCAGCGTCATAAATAAAAATTTCGACAAATTAAACAAACCATTTGAATAAATAGAAAGTTTTAGTACTGTATTTATGATCACAAAAAGTAAACTTTTAATTTAACTAACAATAAGTAAATAGTCGAATAACCAATCATTTCTCTCAGTGTAAAACTTTATAGCAATAATGCATGTAAATTTCAAATGTGATTCATTCTTTGAATTTTGAACATGACGTTTTGAAGTTAACTAAATAATAAGAAAATTCAAAAGTATTATTTTATGTAATTATGTTAAGAATCGATTAGTGGATCTTACTAATAATTGTCATTGAAAAAATTCAAGTTATCTGAATAATAAGACACATTTATTCTATTCTTAATCTTATGTTTATTCTCGAATTATATTAAGAGTGTTCTGAAGTTATCTAAATAATAAGAAAAATAAGCATTGTCTGTAAGCTCAAAACAAGTAAACTAAAATGCCTGCTCCAAATATACGCCCACGTAATAAAATATGGTGGCCCTGAAAAGGGCCGATTGTTTTGTGTGGTGGAAAAAATTAAGCACGTTCTCCTCGGATGCGACGGGCCAACTGGATGTCCTTTGGCATGATGGTGACTCTCTTGGCGTGGATGGCGCACAAGTTGGTGTCTTCGAAGAGACCGACGAGGTAGGCCTCGCTGGCCTCCTGGAGGGCCATCACGGCGGAGCTCTGGAAGCGCAGGTCGGTCTTGAAGTCCTGAGCGATTTCACGGACCAAGCGTTGGAAGGGCAGTTTGCGGATGAGGAGCTCTGTGCTCTTCTGGTAGCGACGGATCTCACGGAGAGCGACGGTTCCGGGCCTGTAGCGATGGGGCTTCTTCACTCCACCGGTTGCAGGCGCACTCTTACGAGCGGCCTTGGTGGCGAGTTGCTTTCTTGGTGCCTTACCACCGGTGGATTTACGCGCGGTTTGCTTAGTACGAGCCATTGCTTCGAAGTTCAAAGTACAAGTGACGATTGATGGTTATGGCGGTAAAAACTCACATATTTATAGGTTTGAGATTCTCCTGCATCGGTTAGTCAAGAGGAAGGGGGAACTATTATCCTGATTGGTTGGTCAGATCATGGAGGGGAGAAGTGGAGTTCCGGAGGGAATAAAACTGAGAGCTCAGACAACGAAATATCATTCCGAGTTTGTTCTCTGTTCTGTTTGAACGTACTTACTTAATTCTCTGCAAAAATGACTGGTCGTGGAAAGGGTGGAAAGGGATTGGGAAAAGGAGGAGCAAAGCGCCATCGTAAAGTGTTGCGTGATAACATCCAAGGTATCACCAAGCCCGCCATTCGTCGTCTGGCTCGTCGTGGTGGAGTAAAACGTATTTCGGGATTGATCTACGAGGAGACTCGTGGTGTCTTGAAAGTGTTCCTTGAGAACGTGATCCGTGACGCAGTCACTTACACCGAACACGCCAAGAGGAAGACCGTCACCGCCATGGACGTCGTCTATGCCCTCAAGCGTCAAGGCCGCACCCTGTACGGTTTCGGCGGTTAACTTCATTCATCCATCATCATCATCAAAAAACAAACAATCGGCCCTTTTCAGGGCCACTAAATTTTTTTACGTTTGAATTCTTTTCTGTTGAAACATAATACTGGTCATATTTGTCAAGTATGCAAAAAATTTACTTTTATTTAGTCTTTATTAAAAACTATTCAATAGGAAAGTTTATAAATAGCTTTCTTGTAAGTGGTTGCAAAGTATTAATACTTTTTTCGTATTTATAATAGTGGAATGTGGAGTACCGTATTGTGTATTGATTTTGTTCTATATTTGAGCGTCATTTTTTTCTAGGGGTTCTAACGCCCTTTTACAATGTATCAGAACTATGTCCAGCAACTTATTTTTACAAAGTTTGTATTTAATTCGTGAAGCTAATTACTCTTTGAACTGTGTTTCATACATAGTTTTTTATTAAGACACTGTAGAATATGATTAATTCTTTCTATTTCATTCTAAAGGTTTGAATTTACAAAACTTTTGTGATCATATTAACTTCTGCCGTACGGAAAAAGAAGATGGTCGTTGTCGATAAAGAGTTTCTAGTTGTGAAGATTAGTTGCGAAAATTTCCGTTAGAAGCGCTGGTGTCTTTTCGGCAGTTGATTAGTTTATGAAAGTCAAAATTTTTCTTCAAGAAGTACCGATCAAGAGTTGGAGATGGCAGCACATGTTTCGTTTTACATCTTACCGAACTCAAGCATATTGTCACTAACACTATTCTTAAAATCATGTGAGTATTCATTGTATTCATTATCATTAACATTAGAATAATCTTTCTTTGTTTTGAAATAGTAATTCTTTATTCGTTCAGAATAGGCTCGCGAACGTCGTGCATAAGATAGAAAAGGAGATTGTACTTATATCCTATTCTACCTCATGCATCACGTTCGCAAATCAGAACTTTAGCCATAAATTTTAAATTTACTTCCAAATTGCAAGGATAAAAAAATGCGTTTAAATTTCATAGTAAACAAGCTAGAAATGTTGTCAGAGACAAACAATTGCGTTAAAACTTAGAACTAGTGTCCTAAATCTAACATAAAAAAAGAAATAAAGATACAACATAATAGATAAATTAAAGTAACTCGCAAATAATATTTAAAATTTTTTATTTCTTCATTAAAATAAACATCATTATTTACAAATACATTCGATAAGTACTTTTTAAAGCCTTACTTCGTTGTCATTAATTTACAGTATTTACAAAAAAAATGTACAAATGTCACGAGAAAATACAATTAATTTTTAAATATACAAAACTTTAAAAATAAAGTTACAATACTGTATGTTAAAAATTGCCATACGTTTTGATAAAATTACAAAACTTACTAAATGCGTTCTTAACATAAAACTTTGTATAAAGAAAATACAAACAAACGAAAAAAATCACGCAACAGCTACAGAATCGACAGATTTCAATCCATGGAACATACTGTAATCGACGTATTGATGATTTGCCTCAAGATTGACAGTTGGCCTCGAGAGTTTACTAGGAGCAGCCAATAAACGACTCCAGGCTCTACATGTTTTTCCAGACCAAACCCACATTCCGGCAGTGACGCCAATCACCAACGAAAGAAATAGTCTGAGCAGTGCAACTTCAAGACCCGCCGCTGAATAAATTGGACCGTGATCGCAATTTTGAGCATTTATACAATTGTAGGCGGCGAGAAATGCAAATTCCCTCCACAGTGGTTTTATGCGCGATTCATAGATTGTACACGCGAGTGAACCGAGGGCAGGTAAGGCGTAGAGTAAGGCGAAAATTCCCAGCCTCGTCATCAGTCGTTCTAATTTTGTCGCACTTCGGCCAGCTGATCGGACAGCTCTTCTCACACGGACGAGAGCGCCACCTGCCAAGCACGCGAAACCACAACCCAGCAGGAGGAGAATTGCATGTGGAAGAACCTCCAGCCAGAGGGCGGATTCATCGGATATTTGACAGAGGCCCGTTAATTCGTCTGCTACGACGCTTTTTGCGATGAGTGAACCTGAAAAATGATTTTAACATCATTATACTGCGTTGTTAAGTAAAAAAAAAGTTTGTAAATTCGCTCTAAAATTTCGTAGTCTGTTTCGTACTCTCATCGGTTAAAATTAAATTGTTATTGTTAAAATTAAAAATAAAATAAAATTATTAAAACAAATTGAACTTATAGACTTTTTTACTCTGATAGTACAAACAAAATATTCTTATTATTCAGATAACTTCAATATCTCTAATTAGACGTTCAGATATCTAATTTTTTTTAAAAAGGACAAAAAAAAGACTTAAAAACACGTTATCGCCTCTACTATGTATAAGTATAGTTTTTATTTTATGTTCTGATAGTTACCAGCAGTGAGAAGAATCGGTAAGCCCCAGGCGATGGCGTGTAAATAAGTTGATATGTTGTGTAGAGCTTCACTACTCCATTCGTGTTTGGCACTCAAAAACCAGCAACCACAAAGAATCGACCACCATACGCTGCTTACTAGTCCAAAATAATATCTCGCGAACCACCAAATTGTGCATGGCATACTTCTTAGACCATCATGTACCTAGAATAATAAGCAATTATTAGTAAATAGTACACGGTAATCTTGTGATAATTTAATTATAATCTTTAGGTTTAGCCAAATTCTACAAGCGATTTTTGTTTCTAATTTGTATCAGGATGGGAATAATTTCAGAAATTGAAATGGGAGTCACATACAAATTTTATAATAGGAGAACAAAGTTGCGAAATTTCAGGAAATTTCATTAAAAATAGTGGGAAAAAATTTAATTTTTAGAATTCTTGAAGAACTGTTACTAACATAAAATTATAATAGTAATAAATTATTAATTGAATAATTTTACTTAAATATTTAAAAACAATTTGAATTTTAAAAAAATTTCAAATTCAAATCTTTGCGGAAAATCTTGATTTTTCAATACTTTGATAATTAATAATTTTTTGAAACTAATTGTTTTGAATAATTTCAATTTAAATTCTGTCGAAATTATAATAATTGAATTTCTAAAATATATTTAATATTATTTCAAAAATTTTTATTTATTTCTTCGATAGAATTCTATTATTTTGAAAAATATATTAGAATCTTTCCAGAAATTCAATTTTAATAAAATTCTTGGCAAAATTGAATTATTTTTATAAATAAAAATTTTCATCACAAGAATCCAATTATTTTCACAAAAGTAATAAAATTCTTCCTAGAAATTCAATTATTTTAAAAACATTTTTTTAAATTCTCGTAAAGATTTCAATTATTTTTATAAATATACAACAAAATTTTTCTCCGAAATTCAATTATTTTCAAAAATTTTAATAAAATTCTTCTCAAAATTTCAATTATTTTCAAAAATGTTTCTCAATTCAATGATTTTCAATATATCAACTATTTTAATAAAATTTCCCAAAAGAATTCAATTATTTAAAAAATTTTTTTTGATGAAATGCTACTACGCTAACATTTAATAATTTTCATAAATAATAAAAATTTCACAGGAAATTCAATATACATTTTAAAAAAATTGGAGTTTGAAAAAAATCAATTATTGAAATTTTTTTCAAATTCTTTGTAATAATTCAATTATTTGCACAAAAATAAAAATTTTTTACAGAGATTTAATTATTTTCATAAATAAGAAATTTTTTTTTAGGAATTCAATTATTTTTATAAATAATAAAACTGAATTTCAATTATTTTTAATACAACTTTAATTGAATTCCTCGAAAAATGCAATTATTCCTAAATATTTTAATAAAATTAATTGATTAAATTCAATTATTAAAAATTTTGTAATATAATTCTTAGCAATAATTCAATTATTTTCATAAGTAATAAAACTGAATTTGAATTTGTTTTTAATACAATCTTAATTGAAATCTTTAAAAAATGCAATTATTCATAAAATTTTTATTAAAATTCGTCGATAAAATTAAATTATATTTAAATTCTTTGCAATAATTAAATTATTTTCATAAAAATAAAAAATGTTTACACAGAATTTTCTAATAAAAATTGATTTAAAATTGAATTTCAGTTACAAGCTTCTAAAAACTTAGAAGCATCATAGCATGCATTTTTAAAGGAATAATTGAATTTTGTAAAGGTTTCAAATTCAAATCTTTTGTAAAATTCGAAAATTTCATGCTTTTAATTAACAATTCTGTAGAAGTAATTTTTTTAATTAATATGAAATTTTTTTGAATTTATTTGAAATTTTAATTTCTAATCTATATATTTAATTGAAGAATTTCCGAATAATCAAAATTTCGTAAAATTTAATTCTAAACAAAGTTGATTTGAAAATTCTCAGGAAATTCTAGAAAATAATAATTTAATCGAAAGGATAAAAATAATTTTGAAGTGGTTACAGTAACAATATATATTCTTATAATTTTGAAGAAGTTGTAGTAACAATATTTTCTTATTATATATGTTTGTTGGATTTCAAAAGGTTTTAATTTGCAATTGTTGAAAATCTTAATTTCTATGGAAATATACTTAATAATGATTAAACATTTTTTTATATAAAACTATTAATGTTTTCGACTAATTTTACAATTAAAAAAATTCGCAAAACTGCTTTTAAAAAATGAAGAAAGTTATAAATTTATACTCACTGGTACATATGATGGTCCATCAAGTTGACTGGCACAGCTTAAATTTTCAGAGCCAACTGCCCCTCGAATGATGAAAGCGACCGATAGCAAATTATAACACAAAGCCAGAAAGACAATTGGCCTTTCAGGATAACGAAATCGAGAGGGATCCACCCAGAATGTGAGAAGAGTAAAAAGCGTCGAAAGAAAACAAAGCCATGCCCATCCAATCATCCAACGTTCCGTGAATCTTTTGTCCTCTGTTCTGTAATAAGCGTCTGCACCACACTTTGGAATACACGTTATCTGCGCAATTGAAAGAAAAGGTAAGAAGAGAAATTACAAAATTTTCATATAGTTCAAAAAATGCATTTTCAAAAAAAAGCAATCAAGTTTGAAAAAATATTTAGCGTACTAACATTGTGGATATCCGGTGCTTGGATAAAATGTTTAGGACACTGATTATGGTGATTAGAAGCAGCAGGTAGCTGTGTTGGTTGCAGTGATTGAACAGGCCACTGCTGCTGAATTGCTGGTGAAACCGCTGGCGATAGGGTTTCCGATAGAGTTGCTTCTTCCTGTGGCGGTTGCACGCAAAGAGTGTTCCCTTTGAAACAAAAGAATTTATCCTTATAGCTTCCTTGTCCGCATATATATTTTATTTTCTTTATATTTTTTTATTTGTACTCTTTTTATTTTTAAATTTATATTCTTTACATTCGTATATTTATATTCTTTACATTTTTATATTTATATTCTTTACATTCTTATATTTATATTCTTTACATTCTTATATATATTTTTATTATACAATAAATATAGGAAAAGATTGAGTACTGACGATAGCAACGAAAATAATTTTTCCCCAAACGAAATACAGTGTCACACTTACCACTAAATTTTGCTTCTGGGAAACGATCACAATCGAGTATATTTAACCAAGGAAGATTGAATCTTGACAAGACTGGTTCACATGCACGTCTCACGGATAAGCACAATGGCTTACATGGCGGAATTGCCAAATTCTCCGAGCAAACTGGTGCAAAGACAGCGCAGAAGAATATCATCAAATGTTTCGAGCAATTATTATGCACCAAGGGCATGAATTGTTGAAGCTGAAACAAAAATGAAAAATAAGTTGTTAGAAAATTTAAAAAATATATATAATTTACATTTTATAAATATAATATATACCCTCACAACAAAATACATTAAGAATAGCCTCATAATAACTCAAAGACGTAAAAAATCATAACATCAAAGATACATCAAAAATATCGAAAACTCTTCAAAAAATAATATGGACCAGGTCTGCTTCTTGTGGATTAGACGAGAACTGATAATGCAGATTGTTTCATGTTTAGTAAAAATTAAAAATTTTTATTTTTTCTGTTTCAGATAACTGCGCAGGAGGATCAACGAAATTTGTTCAAGCTCGCTAACAAAGACTGAAGAAAAATAATTATTCATATTATTTCAGGTGCAGTAAAAGAATCTAATAATTTGTCCAATCATAATGATACAGGCTGTAAGAAAAAAATTTTTCTTATTATTCAGATAACTTCAAAAACATCGATTCCTTTAATTAGGAAAAGTCAACAATAGGACTCAATGTGAAAAAAATTTCTTATTATTCAGATAACTTGAAAACTTCGATTCCTTTAATTAGGAAAAGTCAACCATATGATTCAGTAAGAAAAAAAGTTATTCTTATTATTCTGATAACTTCAAAAACAGTTAGGAAAGCTCAAACATATACGATTCAGTGAAACAGAAAATTATTCTTATTATTTAGATAACTTCAAAAACGTCAATTCCTTTAATTAGGAAAAGTCAAAATTATGACTCAATGTGACAAAAAATATTCTTATTATTCAGATAACTTCAAAAAATCCAATTCCTTTAATTAGGAAAAGTAAAAAATTTAACGTATAGTGCAAAAAACACGATTATTTTTATTATTCAGATAATTTCATAAACTCTAGGTTATCCTCGAGGATATTCTCATGCTGTCCTAGAAATATATAATGGATATTATTAGGTTATCCATTAGATATCCCTATAGGATATCCAGTGCTATAAGGATTATTCTATCTATATGACCTGTACAGCTGAACACATCCTTAAAAAATATATAAAATAATAAATATTTAATGTAGTGTAACTATATATTCTCAAAAACGTGGATATTAAAAATTGCAAAGTTATATATTGTAGTTAAAAACTAAAGTATCAGGAGGGGTGAAAATAACTCGTGGAAGTGAATCAAATAAAAGAGTTGTGTTTCTCGTGAAATGATTATTACTTGAGTGATCCTATTGTGAAATTGTGGCCTAATGGGCCTTCATTATTTTCGCATTGAGGCGCAAAAGATTTTGATGTTTTGAAATTCAGATCTCCCGGCTGTGTGGCTCCATCGACTTTGGTGAGAGGAGAAGATGATATGAAAGAGGAATGATGAAAAGGCGTCGGAGGCGGAAAAGGAAAGAGAAAGACGCGACGGTGAGACGAGAGGTATACAGAGAGAGAAAGAGGGATATTAAGAGAGAGAGAAAGAGAGATATTAAGATAAAGAGAGAGAGAAAAGGAGGGAAAGAGAGATATTGAGAGAGAGTGAGAGAGAGAGAGAGAGATAGTAAGAGACAGGGAGAGAAAGAGAGAAAAAGAAGAGAGACTTGAGATATAACGAACGGCGTGCATCGCGGGTAATTATCCCGCCCATTCTTCCCGCCTCTCTCGACGTACCAGTACTTTCGGTGGGCCTTAGATTCGCCCATTACGTTCAGTTCGCGTTTCTTCGCCTCTACCCCTGGACCCATTCGCCCAAATTATAGTTCCCATGAAATTACGTGGTATCCCATCTTCAGACGCTCAGTAACACTCAGGGGCATCGTCTTCCTCTGCTCCTTATATACACGTGCACGCATATTCTACCTAGGCCACCACATATATATACACATATATACACTGTAAAAAATTTTTGGGGTAATTTTACCAAAAATGTTTTGGAAGTAATTTTCACCAAGAATTTGTGGGTAAAAATACACAAGATTTTTGGAAGTTTTACCCAAAATTTCTTGAAAAAATTCCTATTAAGTTTTAGGTAAAAATGCACAAGAGTTTTAGTGATTTTACCCAAAGATTTTGGAAGAAATACCTAAAAGGTTTTGGGTAAAAATAAAAACATTTTGGTATCTTTTATAAAAGTTTTGGAAAAAATACCCAAAAATTTTTAGGTAAAATTACACAAATTTTTGTACTTTTGTCCAAAGTTATGTGTAGAAATACCCATGAAATTTTTGGAGAAATTCAAGACTTGTGATAAATTTTAATCTAAACATTTTGAGAAAATACATAAGTGATGAAATGGAATAGTTAATTTTTCATCCGCAATTTAAAAAAATTCACTAATATAATTTTAAACAATAATTGCAGATTATAGTGATTCTTTTTATTTCATATAAAATATGTTTTAATACAAAACTATTTTACAAAATATGTTTTCATATACAATAATAAATAGTTATGAAAAACAATAATAAAATAGTATGAATATTATATTAGATTAATCATTATCAACACTTATTATTAATCTACTTATAACAAGAAATTAACAATCGTCGAAATAACAGATAATACAAACAAGCAGATTAATTAATTAAAAAATTCACTATTATTCACTATTTATAAAATATAACATCACACATACATTTACTTTCAATTAAAAACCACATTTTTTATTAAAAACACTGTAAAAACAAGAAAACCTTCACGCGCGGATGTAGCTTCTCTAGTAAATGCTGCAGAGCAACTGACGCCAAAAAGGACGCCAAAAAGGCCTTAGCTGGCCATCTTAAGATGAACCAGATGTGACAAAACCTTGAAAATTTTCACAAGAGTTTACCCAAGCTTTAGGAAAATTCTCCAATTTAATTAGGTAATATTTCACAATTTTTGTAGAATTCCCAACATCTTTGGGTAAAATGACTTTACCCACAAAATTTGGAAATTTTCCCAAGAGTTTACCCAAGTTTTAGGAAAATTTTCCAATTTATTTAGGTAATATTTCACAATTTTGGTAGAATTACCAAAAGTTTTGGGTAAAACGACTTTACCCAAAATTATAAGAGAAATTACCTAAGAAATGTTAGGAAAATTTACCAATATTTTTTACAGTGTACATACGTATGAGTGATAAACACATAAATACATTCTATATACATTCATTCATCCTTCAGGCAACATATTCAAGCCGGAGAAACCTGTCCGGAATTCTGCAACTCACAGTTCGCCAATTCCTGATTTTCGCAAACATTTATCCTCGCATTTATCCAAAAATCGCTTTTAAAACACTAAATATAGATGATATATTTAGTCCATTAGCTCATATCATTCCAGCAATTATATCAATTGGCAAAGGAAAAAAAATGTAAAAATTCCTTATTATTCGGATAACTTCACTATCTCCTTAATTGGAAAGATTCCTCGAAAAGGGATCATTGGAATTTTCGTCGGGATTCCGTTAGCAGTATCAATAACATTTTAACTCGGAAATCGGCACCGAAATACCTATTTCCGGAGTCGGAAGTAATTATCTGAATTGTATTGGAATTCTCATTTTCCAAAATGAGAAATAAAACGAAAATTTTAAGGAATACCCAAAAATAGTTCTAATTTGGTATATAGAACAAAAAAAGGGGCAGAGTCTGTAGAAAAATAATTATTCTTATTATTCAGATAACACCAAAAACACCAATTCCTTTAATTAGGAAAAGTCAAAAATGTCTGTGTGAAGATCGAAAAATAAAAACGTGAGACTACTTTCAATAAGGGAACTAATTTTCTAATAGTTTTAAATTTTAATTATTCTCTTTTAGTTTCAGATCTTATGAGATGAACAACCGAAGCCAAATTTGTTCAAGCACGCTAACAAAGGCCGATGAAGAAAAATTATTATTTTCATTGTTCAGATAACTTCAAATACTTCAATTTCATCAATAAGGTAAGAATCCTAAGTCAAATCAAAATTATTAATTTAATTTTTTTGTTTCAGGTGCAGTGAAAGGATCCTAGGAATTTGATCAATTATAATGACACAGACTGAAGAAAAAAAATATTCTTATTATTCAGATAACTTCAAAGACGTCGATTCCTATAATTAGGAAAAGTCAACCACATGATTCAGTAAGAAAAGTTATTCTTTATATTATTCAGATAACTTCAAAACCGTCGATTCCTTTAATTAGGAAAAGTCAACAATATGACTCAGTGTGAAAGAAAATTATTCTTATTATTCAGATAACTTCAAAAACATCTGTTCCTTTAATTAGGAAAATTCAAAAAGTGTGAAACGAACACATTATTCTTATTATTCGGATAACTTCAAAAACATCTGTTCCTTTAATTAGGAAAAATTCAAAAAGTATATGTGAAACGAACACATTATTCTTATTATTCAGATAACTTCAAAAACTTTATCTCCTTTAATTATAGGAAAAGTCAGGAATATGACGTAGTGTAAAGAAACATAATTATTCTTAATATTCAAATAACTTCAAAAACTTTATAATTATTTCAATTTGTCAGAACCAAAATTAAAATAAAATCTGTAGAAAACAATGTTGAGGTGAAAAATAAAGTTTTTTAAACTTAGTATACTTAATGCACGTTATAGTTTTAGCTTCTTGCATGCCTAAGTGAAAACTTGGAAAAAAAATAAAAATTGAAGTATTATATAAAAGTTCTGAAATTGTGTGCATCCTTTGTGAGCATTGAGAGGACACTTGTTGATCCGCGCACGAAAATCATCTTTCAAGGACCTCTCCATTCGATGCGAGAGTAATTTTCAATCATTGTAGTATATTCTCAACTACATCGAGTATAGATTCACATAAAAGAATTTGTCACATCCTTCCTATTACTTATATTCTCCCACTCGTCATCATCCCTAGTCGTCGAAATCGAAAACTTCTTTCATCAATAACATCACTACAATTACTAATCCGGAAATGTACTTTCGTCACAGTTCAAAATCATTGTCCGAAATAATTTCTTTTACAGTCATAAAAGATTTTTCTCTTGAATTTTTATGCACTCTTCACTAATTCTATATACC